ATGGACAAGTTTGGGAACACCAGCAGCTGTAAATACCACATTTACAGACCATTTAATAAGTTCAGTACTGAATAGGTACTACTGTGTTATGGTCCTGGACAAAACAGGGTTAGATATAGTAAACATCTTTAGGATGTAAAAGAGTTGAATCCTTAAAGGGTGTGCCACTATTACAGTAATGATATTTACTAATCTTAGTAAATCTAAAGATGGTAGAAGTTGTTATTTGGAAACCTCATGTGGACAGTGTATAAAATGCTTGCATAGACTAAAGATAACATAATCAGATAACTCATATTAAAGGTTGTTAGATTTATAAATGTAGAACTTTTATCATTGTTTTGAATCATTTGTTTGGAATAATATCTTTATGTACTTATGTACCTTAGAAGACTAACCAGTACATGACATTCTGATTTAGTCATTTAGTTTTAGTCTTCTTGGGACTTGCACCTTGGAATGTTCTTAAGGAGGATTCCTTGACTTGCACACTTAACAACATAGGATGATAAGTCTCATGTTGTTTAACAGTATCTCCTAGCTCTACCATTAACATACTAGCACAACCATTGATAGCTTCCAAACAGTTTCACCTACCCAATTTAACTCACACAGTTTGGGTCAACTTGTCATATGACTTTCAAACACTTCCCAATGGTATTGCACTTTGGGATCATCTCCCCATGATAGTATTATCAATGACACATCCTTGACTAATCAACCATACACTCCTCAATAGCTACATTCTCCTTTTTTTTTTCTTTTCTTTTTTTTTTAACCTGTGCTATATTGTTGGTTTACACCTAGAAATTTAAAAATATTTAAGTTTACTCCTAGGTATAAACAATCAACAAGTTGCAGAGTAAATCAAAAAAAAGAAAAGTGTAACTATATGATTCAACATAAATGATGTTTACTGAGAGGATTCTGTAACCTAAAGTAATATACTATATGCCTGGGCAAGCAATATTAAATCTCTTTTAAATCTCTAATGAATGTTATTCATTACTTTTGATTCTTGTTGCTTTGTTTGATCTTTTGTTTATATATATATTATATATATATATATATATATATATATATATATATATATATATATATATATATATATATGAGAGAAAGAGAGATAAATGTCTGAATACCACATATCAGTTTCTGGAAATAATATCCAGTTTGTCTTACATAATAGTGATTTCTTCCCCTCTCTCTCTCTCACACACACAAACTTATTTTGCATTTAAAAATGCACTGGATCTAAAGAGTACTGTTTATCAAAGGTTTTGTGAACTAATTGATATTTTCAGAAATACTTTTAAAATTAGGTTGGATTTAAAGGGTTAACAGTCTTAGAATGTAAAAATGTCATGCGTATTTCAATATAAAAGCAACAAAAATAAGGCAAAAGAAAAACTAATGAAAAAATTCATAATATTTAATTACTGTTCCATTCAGTCATGCCAAATTTAAAAAGCTTCCCAGACCAAGATGAAAATATGATTTTAAGTCAGGCTGTAAACCTCAGAAATGAACAGAGAAAGTTAGATGCTAATTCTCATAAATAATAAATAATATTAAAGTCCATTTAAAAAAAAGTACATGATGTTGTTTACTGTTCAGTTAAAAATGATTGACTTCCAAATTGAGCAAACAAATAAGGTTCTTGTAAAGTATAGGATCTTGTGAGAGAGAGTGAGATATAAGATTTTAACCTCTAGTATTTACATCAGGTGTTGCTTCATAAATGTGATCACCTTGTCCACATAAGAGGATATAAACTACTTCCTAGTATGGTCTAATAAAAAATCCAACTATTCTATTTCAAATTGTCAAAATTCCGATAGTGAGTAGAAAAATCTAGAAACAAAATAATCAAGACCTTTTAACTTTGGAAGAAAAAAAATCAAATGTTCAATAAACAACTGCAATATTAGAAGAGAGGGTGGGAGCATAATTCTTAGCTGTAGAATTGCAGTTTCAAGGAAGTGTTATCTACAAATGGTTAAAGCTGTGTTTTTGAAAAGCATATATTTATTCTAATTTGTTTTGAAAACAGAATTGTTTAACCAATTGTAAATTGTCTTTTGATCAAAAACTTCAAACATTAGTGAGCAGCAATATTTGGAGTCAATTGTCTATTATAAGGATAATGTATAAATGAACAGATCAAAACAAACATCACTAAAATGATAATTCCCCTCCTCTCATTTTATTTTATTTATAATGCTTATTTTCTTTGGTCCTTCTATTTGATGATTATTAAAATTCTCAACACTACCCACCCACAAAAAGAAAAGAGATAGAAAAGAAGGTTTCCCACCCCCACCATCTCCCACTACTTTTCAATTTAAGATGTGTATGCAGTTAACATGATTGTAAAGTTAGACATGGGTCAAATGCTGATCGTAATAAAAAAAAAATCAATCAAGTGCTGAAATTGGATGCTGTTATCCCACATTCTAAAATCTAATTAAAAAAATTCAAACAAATGTTAGTGCCAATGCAGAAAATTCCACAATCTCTATGGAAACTCTTTCATTGCTCAGAAAAGAAGCACGGCAAAGTTCAAGAAGAACAATAGTAGTAGTAGTAGTAGTAGTAGTAAGTGTGGGAAGACAGAGAACCTTAGAATTAAGCACATAGCTATTTGGTCAAGTCAAATATATTACTAAATATACAGTTAATTTTGATGCAAAAATAATTAAATTTAAAAAATATTAAATTATCACTCTTGCTAAAAGTTTTATTTCTTTTTTTTACTAGAATTTTAGTTATTTACTAATCTTTAAAAAGTGTTTTTCTTCTTTAATATATATCTAATAGTTACTCTTCAGATGGTATCATATTGCAAAAGAGATTCTACATCCTATTCTAGTAAGTCATTGCAGAAAACAAAAGTAAAAAACAATAATTAAGCTTAAAATATTTGTAGCAGACACAGAACTGAAAACTGCCACATGTTCCATTAACAGCAGATACAATGTCATGATGTTCACTGGAAATTCCTCACATTTTTCCTCAAATTTTAAAGCTGGTCTTATATACAGAGAAAGCTGCTTGATTTTATCACAGGTCTTTTCAAAATTATCCATATTACAATGATCAGATTTCTGCTTAATACAGCAAAAACGACATTTGTCAGCACAATATTGCTAAAATGCTCTAACTTGGAAAATGACTCCAAGTCTATTAACTGTGAATTTCCCTGACTTCAAGAAAATAAGAAGAATAAGTAGGGAAGAATCTTTGAAATCTACACTCTTTACCATCAGTCTTAGTGGCACACCAATGACAATACTGTAATAATAATAACAAACAGTCATAATTTGGATTTGCGATTGTAAATATAAAAATGGAAAATGACTTGAGCATAAGTCAACGATACCAGGGACAACATTTAAAACATTAATTCTCAAAATTGAAAACAATTCTTTTCATAATAGGGATAAAAACCTATGTCCAGATTCTGTACTGTAACTCCTTGTAAAATTAGTTAACTCAAACTGAGCAACAAATGGGAAAGTAGAAGCTAACAAAATAAGTTTGGATTTTAGCAATGATTTCCATTTCATGACTTTTAGGAAAAACACAGTTATTAGTATGGCTGCCAGATGAGGCAACAAACAAGGAATTAAGTCAAATTTGGAAACCCAGGGCACCTACATTTTTAACAAACTTTCTTTTCATGAGTAGCTCAAGTTAGCTTAGCCTATTTTCAAAGTAACCCCAAAAGTCAAAAGTAATTAAAAAAAAAAAAAAAAAAAAACTTGCTAGTGATAGAATTTCAAAAATAGTCCACTCTAATAAACCTAGTTAGCAATGCAGAAAACAACGTTTTAATTTCGGCTAAAACTCTTTATGTACACTCTACATTATATACTGTCTTATCACTTGGTGTGCCATGATGACTGACAGAAAAAGAGTTAATGAGAGAACATTTGGATAAACCACTCTCCTAGGCAAGGGAAACAAAATGCTGTCACTATCAGAGCCAAACTTGACTCCTAGAAAATATATATTCTAGTCACGTCTGCCACCGGAGCAAACATCAAACTGAGATGATTCAGTACAAGAATGGCCAAAGAAGATACTTTACACTAAGAAAGAACACAGAGGATACAATGACTGTCAAAAGAAGGGAGTCATATGATGTCAGAAATCATTGTTAATTTTACTTTTTAGTTTTAATTCTCCTCTTTTTTTATATACAAAAAAAATCATTTTCTAGAAGAGATAAAATTCCTTTTGCAATATAGTATTATCTAGCAAGTAACTATAGCTGAATTTTAAAGGGTTTTAATTTTTTTTTTTTTTTATTCCTGCTGAAAAATTTGGTGACATGAGGGCACTTGTATTCAGCAAATGGCTTAAATGAAAAAAAAAAGAAAAAAAAAAAAAGAAAAACCATGTCATCACATTCATGGAGGCATAAAAAAATATCTCCCAGGGACATGCCCATTAGAGCCAACAACAGTAAGTTTCAAGCATACCATGGTTTTGACACATCTTCCATGCAATACTGTTTTTTTTTTTCTTATAAATAACTTCAAAATGAATTGTCTTTTTATCATTCATACCAGAAGAAACTGGGTAAGGGTGTAAAAAGGAGAAAAAAAAAAACAAGATAATCAAAATAACAAAAAAAAAGAAACAATTTTAAGAAAGAAGTAAATAAAATGTGTATGAAGCTGTGTCTACATTTGCCAATCTCTAATGCAAATCATGCTACCCTAAAAATGAGAAGGAGGTTAGAGTACCCAGGTGGATGAATATGAAATAAATGATTTGCTATTTCTATATTTTAAAAAAAAATTTAAAAAAAATAATTAAATAAAAAGTAAAGAAAAGAAAAAAATCTGCACACAAAACAAGTAAAAAAAGAAAAGGGATCATTGGGAGAAAATTTAGAATGCTAAACTCGAAATATTTTCCTTCATTTATTTGTAAAGGGAGGGAGATTGTTTTGATTAATTAACAAATTAATCATCAGGGAAAAATATAACTTACCCAGCAGCATATGTTGCTGCAGTTGCTACAGTAGGAATTGCATATCTCGTGGCAGCAGCATAGCCTGCATATGGCTGAGTTGACACCAACTGCAAAAAAAAAAAAAAATATTAATAAGCATATCCACAAGTATAAATATATAAAGAGAGAGTATATTGATACTTGCATACTGGTATAGAAGTATATATACTTTCCACCTATAAATAAGAATATTATTAACCCTGGAATGTTAACAACATAAACATTCCACCAGATTCCATGTTTTTGGGGGGGGTTTTCCATTTAAAAAAAAAAAAAAAACAACACACACAGTATTTGAAACATTACACAATTTCAGCAAGTTTCTTTACAAGTTTCCACTCAACATCAGATGACTTATTTGATGTCAGAAGAAACTCACCAAAAGGCTCAAATAGATGCCCTATGTCTGTTCTATTTTTTAAAAAATGCTTAAATGGACAGCTGCTGCCTAAATATATCATGTTTAATGCACACACACACACAAGTATGTGTTTGTAAGCATATCAAAAAAATAAGAGATAAAACAAATTATTTGATTTAACCATTTACTTCAATAAAATAGTGAAGACCAAAGTTGTTGAAAAAAAAAATTTTTTTTTCAAATTAGCGGAGAAGCATTTCCCAGTAACTAGTAAGTTAATAAATTATTTAAGAGAAACACCCCCAAAATAATTTACTGCTTAATAATGTCATTCAACATAAGGAAGCACAATCAAAAAGTGCTTTCTACAAATGATACTAATGCCAACCTTTCTTGTTATCACAAAAAATAAAAGCAATTGTTCATTGGACAGAAATGGCTTGACAAGTGTTTCATCATGAAACAGTAAGCAGTAAAGGCATTTCAGATATGTGCTACATTGAAGGAAACTGAAGAACCATGAAACTATAAATACAATAAACATAAGTCCTCATTTATTATAAGAGATCATACTAGAATCAAACTATCTAAATACATATAGGAGTTAAAAGATTAGGGTCCACTTCATACTCCACTTGATCCCTGATCTGTTTGGGTTACACATGCTTGTGGTGCAAGTTTTGGTAAATGTATGCTGTGACTGGAGGAAAAGTTATGCATTCTGGAATTTCAGCCACAAAATAAACTCCTTGACAAGAGTTACAATCAAAGTGTCAATAAATATTGCTGATACCATTTGCTTTCTGACTGATGATTGGTCAAATAAAGATACACATTTTATAATGGTCACATATATTTGGCTGAAACGTATGCATGAGAATATTATAGATAACACTTAAAGATCACATGTCATGAGAAATTTTAGCCCTAATTTTACGACAGTTTTTATTTTGTTCTTACTCTTTACTATATATATATATATATATATATATATATATATATATTGTGCGTGTATGTGTGTACTCAAATGACAAAATCAGAAAATCTATTTCATCCTTAGAAGAAACTTCTTCAGAGTAATAATGGCTCTATCAATGGAGTCAGCTATTATTTTATTGTCTTTTTCTTTGCATTGTTCATTGCCAAATATTTATTTTTCTATTCTACCCCTCTTGAATTTTATCTATTGAACCCTCTTTTTATCTATATATATTTGTCAATTTAAGTAATATTTTAATAATCTGTTTGAATTTGTTTACTAACACTTTCAAACTTGAATCTTTGTAGATGTGTAGATGTGTATATGTGTGTGTCTTTATTAATATATATGTGTATGATTGCTTATATATGCCTTTCATTGTATGTATATGTTGTCTTTTTTTAGGGTCATGGACATCTATTTCCTGTTTCATTGGTGTTTTTGCATGTTTATATATCTAAATATGTCTACGTGTTTGTCGATTTGAACCTTTTAAAACTCTTTATTCTACATTGAACACCATCACTGATAAGACACCAGAAGTGTTGAAACAAAATGGTTATTTTTGTAGTGATTTTATAACATTTATGTTATAATTTTTCAAATAAATTATATATATATATATATATATATATATATATATATAATATAAAAGGCTCAAACACTAATATTCCATGTTTATAATTTATTATATTGGAATTGTAATGATGAGATATATATATATATATATATATATATATATATATATATATAAAATAAAAAATGTGTGTGTATTTAATAATCCCTGTTGTATTATTTTTATGAAGAAAGGAGATATGCCTTAGGATCCTGGGTGTAAATTTATCAGAAAAATTCTGAAATGAGCGCTTTCAAAAATGTCTGACTTAGGAGTTTTCCATTTTGTCATTCACTTACGCACTATTGGTCTGAGATATGGTTTTACATATATCTTACAGTTGGAATGACGAGATGTAACCACAAGTTCTATGCTAATAGTTTCTTTTATCACATTTCTTGCTTGATGGAACTCTTCTGGCTTCTTGCATTACACTCAACTTTGATCTTCAAAAGTTTAAATGCGATGTCAATCTTAATTCCTGTTGTTTTTTTTCTCTCTCCTTAATGTTTTTTTTCTCATATTCTTGCACACACAGTAACCCCTTGTGTCTTAGTGGCCTTATTGTCTTGCTTGTGGTGAAATGATTAAAAAAATATGTATATAAAGAGTGAGTTTGTGAATATTAATACAGAGTAATACTAAACTTAATCATGGTAGTTAGATTTATTTAGTTAATTTGTTAAAATCATTTCATCACAAAAAAGGTGATAAAGCCACTAAGAGGCAAGTGATAGCTGAGAGTGAAAGAATCTGAGAAAATGTTGAAGAAAGAGAGGACATTAAAAGACCATGATTCAAAGTGATAGAAGATAATAATTGATGTTGCATTTAAATTTTCTAGACGTTAGCATCAGCCATGGAAAAAGGTTCACTTACACTATTAAAAGAGTGCAGTTTCATTTTGGAGGTGTTAAAATTAACTCCAGTTAACAATAGATTGAACGTCATTTTCGAGTTAGCTACCATTTTGACTTTACCGAACATATCAAAGTTACCATTAAGACAGGAATAAATACTTGTCATTAGCATAGAAACCAAGTTGAGAACTAATGACATTTGGAACGTCATTGATGAATATTAGGAACAAAATAGATCCAAGGATAGAGCCCTGGGAGACACCCACATTAATGTAAAAAAATCTAGGATGGCTGTTCAGGATAATTTTCATTTCACAATTTAAGAAAGAGTGAATCAAATTAAAAATTTGGCTGAATTTATTGCATAAGAAATAATTTATTAATTCAAATGATATCCTGCTGAATGAAAACATTGTAAATTTTGTTGATTAATTTCTTTTTTATTAAAAAATATTCACTTTATTTTTATTTTTTTTTAATAATAGCAAACATTAATTTCTAGAATTAAAGCCTCTCAACATTGGAATAATGCAAGATGCAGGGTCAGGTCATCTTGGAAGTAATATACAAATCCTAATAGCAATCAACTGAATGATATTTTTTGCTATTCTAATGTGCCCAAATACTAACAATACATCTTCATGTAAACATACAACACAATCTTCAACCAAGTTTTCCACCAACCGGACAATGATCACGATACATTACATTCTGATTCCAAATCTCATCAGTGTAGAGCAAAAGCTGAGGAAGAGTGCAATTCATATTACAATTCATATTTACAAGGTAACACAATGAAACAAAAACCACATCAAGAAATAATAATGTGTACCCTGTTTAACATATTATATATAGTTTTATTCAGGGCTTTGCCTGCTCATTTGGGGGGATAGGTAGGTTATACTAGAGAACTTCTGCTATGTAAGCTTTTCCTCCTACTAACACTACTCATATCTACTCATCCCGATGTGGTGGCTTGCAAATATGAAAGGGAGAATTCGAAACTGTGACAGAGACACATCCATGTCAAACCAAGAGCAAACCGCATGACTGTTAATATAGAGCAACATCCAGATATAACTTTCTTCTGGTTTTGTTGCTACTCAATCTGCAAAAATCCCTCATCCACCCCTTTACACATTATCCTTTGGACACAACTAAGAAGGACCAAACTTTAAAAGGAACTCTCTGCTGGACCATCAAACAGAAACACTTGAGAATGAAATAGAACCTCCGTTTGTATGTGGTTGTTCATAGTATCACATTCATAGAGTTTTAAATGGGTATGTAATCAAAGATGATTCAACTAACTTTGCTATTAACCTGATGCTCCTAAAGATGGCTATGTCTACAAAGCATATGGGAGTAAAAAAGACAAGTTGCAGAAGCAACTTAAAATATTCATGATGTTCAGAGAATAAATTCCTTAAATAAAATAAATTCACAAAGATGGTCTGAAAGGTTTAAGAAAGAACTTCAGCTTAAGAGATGTATAACATTTTCTTATTTTATAAGAATATAAAAGTGATTTAACAAAGGGCTTTGTGAAGATGAAGCACAACCAAAATCAAATCATCCAAAGAAAATTTTAGTGTTTGTTAGAATTGCATTGATGTGGTTCCTCTTTAAGTTGTTACCAGTTAATGGTATAACTGAAATATGCATCTGCAATAAGTAGTGAGAGAATTTAAAAACAGCTTTGAAGGAAAAGAGCCCTTGCTTAATCAGTTACAAAGTGTCTCACAGTGATAATACCTGACTCCAGAAAGCAAAATTCACATCTGAAAAGATTGAAGGCATTGACTGGAGAAAACATCTGAAAAGTCTATTTTCCAGATCTTGCTCTATTTGATCACTACCATTTCCAGACATGAAGATTCATTGACTTGTACTTAAAATATATGAAGTAGAGACATGCTTTTCTTCCAAGTCAAAACCTTTCATCATAAAAACAATATAGTAAAGCTGGTGAATTGTTCAAAAGAGGTTATTAATAAAGATGGAACCTATATTGATAAATTCTAATTAAACATTAGTTTTTATGTCTTTCTGACTCTAAATTCAGACATTACCCATGGCATAAAACAAAATGAAGACTCATCAATCCATAAGTCCTGATGGATTTCAGAACCAAAACACTAAATCATTAGAAGAATTTAAAAATTTTGAATTACAGTTTGGCATATAAAGTTTTAAGGAGAGCACATCAAAACAGCAGTTGATAGAATTAAAGTTTTTGTTTTTTTCCAGCTGAATATTTGTCTGTGTTCTTGTCTTTAATGTACTGAAAAATTCATCAATTTAATTTCAGGAAACATTCAGGTAATGTTTCAACATAATGCTAAAGGAACCTCCACTTGATCACAGAAAATACAGCATAGCATGATGAAAAAAAAGGCACCAAACTCATTAAAAACAAAGTTTTATTGCCAAAATGTTTGTTATTTTTAAGAGGCAAGACCAAATTATTTTTTTTATTTTTTGAAATTTTTTAGTCCTTTATAGCATGTTGGAAATTTTGGTTAAAAATCTTGTTTTGTTTACATCAGTGGCTGAACCAATCATAAAGGTTAGATTTTTATTTTTGCACTTTTTCTAGTGAAACACACATTAATTTGGAAATTCTTGCAAAAATCAAATAACTGTTGGATTTTAATGAAACTTTCAGTATATATTCAGAAATGAATTAAATTATTTTAGAAAATTTTGGTAAAAAAATATATTTTTTTTTTTAACATATGTTACCATCCACTTACATAATTTTGTTAAATTTCAAGAAATGAAATTTTTAGGGTGGGGATTTTTTTTATTAGTTAAAAGCAGGACTCCTTGAAGATAGTAAATCATCAATTTTTTTTTTTTTTGCAAAACAGTTAACCTACTCACCAAAAATCTGCTCTGAATTGTAAAATAATAAATGCAATGAAACTAGGAGATTATTTAATTATAAAATCTTTTAATTGCTTAGATAAGTTTTATTAAGGACACTATTGCCTTAAGAAAATTTTTTTCTATAAATAATTTTTTACAAGAATTGTTTTCATTTTTAAAAAATTTTAATTACATTTACAATATTTAAAAATCACTTAAATTTCAGCATTTCTTCAGGGCAGTGGTTTGGAGATACTGTTAAGTGAAAATTACATTTATGAATCAAAAAATTGAAAAGCTCATAACAATCATTTGTACCCAAATATTTTTTTTTAAATTATAATAATTTTTTTTAGTATATAAACATTCCCAATTTCTACCCATGGGAAGCTATACATGACATAATACTTAAAAAGAACACGTAATTTAAGTGTCATCTGATGCACTGAAATTTTTTCACTTTCATTATACAGTTCTTTTTTTATCAGTAACATCTTTGCAAATCATCAGATATATTTTATTTTTAAAAGATTTTTAAAACTGATAATTTTGTTTTGTTTACGAATTTCTTAAAATTAAGAAAATGGACACTTTTAAGAAAATTTTTAAAAAATCAAGCAAGTATTTGACATTCCAATCTATATAATTTCTATTTGAAATACACCAGAATATTTTACTTACTGGAAATAATAAATTTAATCATTTAGCTTTCAGTTAAAGCTAAGATGAAATCTTCAAGAACGCTTTTTCATTTTTAAAAATTTATTTTAAAATTTAGGTATCAAAAATTCAGCGGAGGTACCTAATCTTCTTGTTATGATTTCTAACCAGTCAGTGTTTAAGTTAACTGGACAAAAAGGGGAGAATCTTATTTGAACAGAGCAACCCAGAAATGCAGAAACAGAGTTTTGCATGGACAGGATAAAAACATGGAATAAATTTGAACTCTAGAGATCTGAAGTATTGCAGTAGTCACAAAACACATGCAAATTCAGAAAAGCTGACAAATTTTCCTCCTCCTAGATATGCTTTTTGTCCGAAGAACATTGTGCGTTTTGAATATAAGAGTTCTTTCAGCCAACACAACAAATAAATGAGAGATCATATTTTTTTATATTTAGTGTTTTTTTTTCAATTTTCCATTTGAAGTATAAGACAGGTTACATTTAGTTTCACAACTTTTTTTTTTTTTTCCAATCATGACCCCTTTTTTTTAGTTGTATCTATACTCTTTGAAATAACTTTCTGAAGTCTCAATACTGTTCAATACCACCAAAAGTGATAGCAGTGTCTGGCAGTAGCACTCCATTATGAGCCATTAATAAACCCTATTCTATTACAGCCAAATTGGCATTGAAACATTAGTTTAATTCTCATTTGAGGATTAGATTAATTTATTGTTAAATGTTCTAAATGCTGCAAAGTATAAAAAAGAGAAGAAAAATCAATTGTGCTCATTACTGTTTTAAATAATTGAAGAAATTTCTTAAGAGTTTTGGATAGGAGGTTGTATACCTGAAATTCAATCAGTCACATATAGGACAGAGCAAGAAAATTCTACTGAAATAAACACACCGCAGAAAAAGAGGTTAAATATGATAGAATTTAGAACTTACTTGGTACCTGTCAGCAGCTGCATATGTGGCTGCTAAGAAGGGATCTTGATATACACCTCTGGTGAGAAAGATCAAAAAGAAACAAAATTAGTATGGATATACATCAGGTGCTAGATATTCAAAATGGAGAGGGAAGGGGTAAAAGAATAGAAAAAATAAATCAATTTTCTTTTGAAACCAGTCTTACCAAAATTGCTCATTTGAACATCCTCAACTATTTTACATAAATTATTTAACTAAGATATCAGTTAAAAGTAGATGTTTTTTTGAATACCAAGAAAGGATCTTCTCATACAGTGACACTTACATGGGCTGCACATCACTGAGCACCAGTTCTTTATATTAACAAAGTTAATAGAGCAAATAAGTTTATTTCTTTGTCACTTCATGAAACCTGTGGACAAGATAGTGGGATGTTCTTGGCTGCTATTAACAGTTGAGAGATAAACATCAAATTTCATTGAGGTGAATGAAATTAAATAAAATATGACTTACGCTGCATATGGTAATGCGGCTGCCGTTGTGGTTAGTGGGGTGGGGTGTCTGAATGCAGCGGCCGCAGCAGCAGCAGCAGCAGCAGTGTAAGCACCACGGGCTGCAACAGCAGCAGCACGGCCTCGGGTCAACGCCACACCTCGAAGGGCAGCAGCTAAAATAGAAAAGTGATTCATAAGAAACTTGAAATGGTTATGATTAAAAACCAAAAAATCACATTTTTTTTTATTAGCAGCAATAAATAAAGTCGATTTTTTTTTTTCCCTTTAAAAAAATTTTTTTTTAAGTTTTGTCTTAAATTAAAAATTCCAACTGATCGTCACAAAATTGGGAAACTCAATCCTTATTAAAATAAAATGAAAAAAAAGAATTTCAAAATTTTAATGAAGCAAAAACTGATTTTAATATAAATTAATAAGTTTTTAAAAAAATTGTTTAATAAAAAAAAAAGACTGGTTTATAAAAAATAACTTTAAAAAATTTGTAAATGACTGATCTTTTAATGAAATTTAATAAAAATACTGACTTCTTAAAACTAAACTCATTTTTTTAATAAATTATTTTTAAATTGATAAATGATTTAATTTAATCAAAAAGTGATTTTTTAAATTAATAACAAAATTATCATTAATAAAAAATGAGTTTAAATTTAATAAAAAACTGATTTAAAAATCTAATAAAGACTGATTTTTTAAAAATACAAATATGCATTTTAAATAATGTGAAACAAAGACAGCCAAATTTCTAAAATTAAAATCATCAGAGTAGAAAACAATGTGCTCTTTAAAATTCAAATATATAACAATATGTTGATTGAAATAAATGCGGAATAAATAGGCACTGATTACATCTAGTTAGAGGAAAACAATATTGAAAATTTTCTTGAAACTGAAGCCACATTTTAATTTTTTTATAATCATCTAAAATATTAGAGAGGAAAATCTTGAAAAATTCTTCAAAGACTGATAAAGCAACAAATGAACTTCCAAAAGAGAACTTTACAATTAAGATTTAGTAATATGAACGTGTAATTGTGATTAACTATGAATTCTTTTAGCTCTTCTCCACTTTAAAAATTATTATACAACTCAATAGCAGCAGTACTCCTTGTTGGTTTAGTCCTGAACATATATATATATATATATATATATATATATATATATATATAATTGGAGTCGGGGAACCTTCCTTTTTACTTTTTGATAAACTTCTCTATACAACCTTGTCACTACCCAATGTAGTTAAACAACTGGTGCCTTCTTAACAACCTAAGTTTCTCCCATAAAGTCAAGAAAAAATACTATGCAGTCCCCGTCACAATTCAATCCCTAATTATCAGAGTCAGCAGTCTGGGCATAAGAAAATTTAAATAATGGAAGATAAAGAGTATCTTTAGATATCAGACACACATATTTTGTTAAAAAAATATTGTCTTTCTCCACAAATTTTCTTTTTCCTCTGCAGATTTTTTATCAATTTTGTTTATTATTTTTTGATGAGTACATTCTTGCAGGAACATTAATTACATATAGCAGAAATGATTATATTTAATATCTATTCCCTTTATTGGTCTATAGATAAAGAAAACTCATGAACATAACATGAAATTTTATTATTATTATTTCATTTTTTTTTTTTTAATTCATAGAGGAGGCAGTTCTATTTTCATTGTTAATTTATTACTAGTTTTACTCTATCATTATTGCTGCTTCTTGTATCAATGTGGACTGATACAGTCTTCAATGTTACTTTCATTTTAAGTTTTTCTCAGTCATTATTGCTTTTATCACAACATTCTAGGTATGTGTATATATATATATATATATATATACATACATACATACATACATACATACATACATACTCTTCATTATTACTATTTTTCTCTATAACAATACCAAGGGTCAATACACTGATTTAAATAAGTAAACAGTGCAAATCCAAAATAAATTTGTAGCTTTCAATGAGAAAAACTATTAATATTTATCCCCCATCCCACCCAAAGTCATTAAACTACATCCCATCTTTGCGTTATTAAATCATATAATATGAAAGAGCTTTGTATAAGTGTGAATACAAAGATCTACATTAGTTTTATATTTTCTGCAAATTATCTGACACAAATATCTGATAGTACAAAAAATAATACCAGAAATTAATTAGATGAGAAACTCTGAGAAATTATAATTTAGTTAATTGAATAAGCATAAAGCTATACTATTGGGTGCAATCAGCAATAGTTAGACGTTTCTCAAATAGTCGGCTTGGAATAAAATGACAGGAATAATAAAGAGTGTATTGGGATAAAAAACAAGAATAAGATAGAGTATAACTAGTGATGAACTAATGAAAATTTGAAAATAAGTTTCTTTTCAGAGGTTTTTCTTTTAACCTAAAGTACTGATTGCAAAGTTTAATTTTTTTTATTTCATTTTATTTATATTTGCAAAAAGAATAAAAACATGCCTGAGGTACCACAAACATACGGAGTAAAAACTTATCAAGTTCACCTTTTTTAATTTTCAAACTATATGAAAGAGTAAAATAATAAATATTAATTTTCTGGACTAAAGAGAAAGGAAAAAAAAATTGAAATTTGTGTCATGGATAAATATTAAATGAAGTTCAATAATAATAATACTAATACCTTAACAGGGGTTTGCTTTCTTTTATCAGATTATATTTTTATCGAAAAGTTGAAATTCTAGAAAATGTTGTGTATGAATGGTTCTGCCATGTTCAAAAGAATCTTTCTAAACAAATTAAATTTAACCTGAAGATAGCAGTCTCTTGAAAATGCAAAATGGTGGTAGTTTCTTGAAAAGAATAAGAATATGATTTTGCTCAAATCTCTCCCAGTTCTATTCCAAAATTAATAAGTTTTCCCTTAATCCTAGAACTTCTGAAATCATTAAGAATCATTTTGCTTCTCTAAAAGGCATTGACAACCAGAATTTAGCAGAGAAACTATTTATCTTTTATATTACTGGGGACATTATTAAAGATATAGGTGGCATGCTATGAAATCTAAAGAGACAATAAAGACAGATTGTATCATCATCATCAATTATGTTTCAAGTCTTTGTTCAAATGTTTATATTTTCTTTACATTGATAATGCTTTTCTGAGTTGAAGAAGTAGTTCCTCACATTACAGTATTTTTCATCTTTTGTCAACAGGGGTTGCCAGTGATTTTGTTAATGTTCTCATCTGTACCATTCTGTATTATACCCAGTGCTCCAATTATTATAGGTATAACAGTGGTTTTAAGATGTCACATTTTTTGAATTTCAACATCCTTATATTTACTTATTTTGTTACATTCTTTAACAGACATAGTTTTATATGAAATCACTTCATATCTATGAGAAGACATTGTTTGTAGTCTTTAAGTGCCAAAGAAGAGTGACTTCATGGGCCTTCTATGACTACTTCAGTGTCATGTTCACACTCTTTTTCAGCATATGAAGCACTATAATATTGGCATATCTTCCAAATATACTGCCCAATCTTATGTCCATCTTTGTGTTCTTTTGGTGTCCACACCAGTAGTTATTGTCAGTTAGCACTGGATATTAAGTGGCAGTAACTTCCACCAGTTCAGAACTTTGCACCGAGGATATGTATGCCACTTCCACAAAATCAAATCACCCTAATTTCTTCCATGTTCCACACGTAAGAAGAAAGTTCTACTCGGACTGTTTTCCCCCCAAAAAAGTGCCACTTTGTGGAACAGAATCTCATGTAGGTGCTTTCCTGAACAATTCACTCTTGATCTCTAAGTCAAAGTCACTTGTTAGCTATCCTCTTTATCTTCACTTCCTACCACCTACGTCATTCAAGGTTTACTGCTAAAATGGTAATGATTACCATTTTAACAGTAACCCACGACCTTGAGTGGTGCTTGAGTCTTATTTTAGGTCAAATTTAGTATTTTTTAAATTGCCAATACTCAAACAACCACTTTAGTATTCAAGCTGTTTTGAGTAATACTATTGTCTCAATGACCTTGATTTTTTCTTGGAACATCAGTTTTTCCAACCTTTTCTACTAAGAACTAATTTTACTGGTCTTATTGTTGCTCTTTATTACAAGTCTTGGTTGGTACACTCTGCAACCTACATGAACAGTGAAAAATAAAAAATAATAAAGTAGCTTTCATAAGACTTGACTGAACTTGCATCCTCCACATTAACAGCCTATCTTCCATGGACATCACCTTAACCACTTCAACTACAGACGTTTCAATGATTAATTGGAGTACAAATCTGTAGTTATTCTGCCTAACCCTGTGTATTGTTGCTTTACTAGTTTGTATAAGCTTTTTATTTATTTTTTTAATTTAAATTTTTTTAATTTTAGATTTTCACAAGATTTATTCCACTCTCATTGCTTTTTATCATGTCAATGAGGTATAAATAATAAATAGGGAATAATGCTGAAAGGTAAGAAAACTAAAAGTAGCATACACTAGCTTGACAGACAAATGTATAAGCAAGACTAGTGTGGATTTCTTTACTTAGCAGGGAAGGTATTAGAGAGCATCCCTGCATATAAAAAATATGGAATCACCTGTGTCACATGGGTTGGTGAGAATGGAATCGCCTGTGTTACACGGGATGCTGGGAATGGGTTGATCTGATCCATATATTTGCCACCATTTCTTTTCTGTTTTACAAATTACTTATTAAAATTTAAAAAATAAAATTAAAAGAAACATTTGCAATTATAATTAATGAATTTTTTTCTTTATACAGAAAACTATCCACACACCTTGACTCTAATGGAAAAAGTACAATACTGAAATATATGGTCAGCTTCGGTTTATCCAGTTAAAAATTATATCTCAAATTTTTATAAAATTATGTAAAATTTTACAAATGGAGTGAACTGGAAAAGTATTTAAATACTTAAATTTAAAAAGAAATTTGAATGCAACCATTTTTCTTACATCAGCCAAAACAATGTTATAAAAATGAAACATATGAGAATATTAATATTATATTTTCTAAAATAATAATTGTTTTAAGGAAAAAGAAAATTCTGGAAGCAAGACTAAAACAGGGAAAATAACAGAAGTTTCTCAATATTAACACTAAATAATAATCTACTCAGTTCAATGGTCAAGTAAGAATGAGTCACCCTTCCTTGCCTGTATGCAATGAAGCCTAATTTACAAGACAGCTAAGGTATGGATGACAAAGAAAAAAATATTACCCATAATGGAAAAAGTATATTAGCACAATGTTGTGGAATGGACAACACTAGGAAAAGTTTTTAAAATTTATCCACTTATATCACTGATCTGCTAAGAATAGAGTTAGATTTTAATTTGTTGAAAGCAACAGAAAAGGTTTTTCAGAAACATATCTACCTTATCTATAAATATGATATATCTATCACCTTTAAAATGTCAGTCAAAGAGTCTAATTATACTTTTTGTATGTTGATATATAGGGAAAAAAAACAATGACAGAAAAAATAGATTAATTTAAAAAAAAAAAAAATACTTTTTTTTTCAAATTCTTGTTCCTCATCTGCCAAAGTTTTCTTTTCTTTGTTTTTACTAAGTGATTTTAGATTAAATATTGTCAAATATAAGAGACTACAAAGAAGAATCATTTGTTGCAAAAATCAGTCATAGAAAAGACAATTAATTAATCAGTCATAGAAAGAACATTGGTAATGAACAATCAGTTCATAATCTGCTAAAAAATAAAGAACATTCTGGTTTAATTTAAAAACAATTAAAAAATATATAAGTTGTTATTTATCATCTAGAAAATTGCAGCTAACAGCAACAAAATACACTCTTAAAACTTATGTCATTTTTTTTCTACTCACAAAATTTTAGGCTGTATATGAGGTTGGTATATAATTATAATAATATTATAATTATATAACATTGTAGTTCTTTTTTAATACATCAGCTGGGTTTAAATTGAAGGAATGAAGAATGAATGGATACCAGAAAAAAACTTTAAAGGGCAGGGAAGGTGGTTGAAAAAAGACATACAGAACAGACAAGCCATCACTGCATAATAAAAATACAATTAAAAAATACCAATACATTCTTCTATTAAATGGTGTGTTAAGATGGCACAATGTCACCCACTATTAGTGATAAGTTTGGTAAGAGATAATTTTTTAATATCAGCTTTCTTTTTTCTTTTTTTTGACTATAATCTAAGAGCATGCTGTGCCAGATTTGATATGCTTCAAAAAGACTGAAAATGCACTCATTACAACACCAAAGTTTGGCAAGATGTGCTTCCATAGCTTGTAGTGGATTTACAGCTGCGATGCCAACAAACTTAGAGATTTTAAGACAAAAAAGGAGGGTTCTCAACAGCCTGAAAAGAGTCTACTAACCAAGGATAAACAAATAAAAAATTATTAGAAAAAAAATATATAATTAATAATGATTCCATTAACAATTCAAGGTGTGGTGAATACATCTTTTTTTAAGCATGCAGTTTGCACTCATTTTTTTTTAATTCAGTTGTTAAAGGGTTAATATAAAAAAAAAAAAATTAAAAAAAAAAAAAAAAAAAAAAAACGAAACATTTTTTTTTTCTCTTTTATGTCAAGAAATTTCAATGAGCATTTCTAAATAAAAACCAATGTCCGGTTTAATATATATATATATATATATATATATATATATATATATATATATATATATTTTTCAACAGGCAAAAAAAAAAAATTTTTTTTTTTTCCTAAAAGCCATCATCCATTTTATGAATACAATTATGAATATGGCAACCAGTATATACTGTACAAAAAAAATAGTCAGAGAGAGAAATAAATAAAATTTTATTTTGGAAAAAAAAATAAAATAAAATTCTTTTTTGGAAAAAAAAAAAAAAAAAAAAAAAACAAATATAAAACTTGGGTAAATAAAATCATTACTATTCAAGGCAGAACGCAACATCACATAGAACATGCAGCAGACGGCATCAATGTATGAGGCACACAGATAGGTAGTGATGCACATTTCACCCAGATGTTCATTCCACCCTTGGAGGGACTTTGGAGGAGTCACAGTTTTAACGCACACACATTCCAAAAACATTAACGTTACTAGGCATGAAGACTAGCCAAACAATTATGTAGCTTTTAGTGGTTCTGTGTTATCAGCAAGATTCTTTGAAAATATGACGAGGAGAAAATCAATCACAATAAGGAAGAAAAAAGACAAGAATTCTATCATTCCTTTGGTTAAGAAAAAGAAAAATAATGTCCTTAACAAATACAAAAAAAAATCCCATCTAAAGTGTTTTTTTTTTGTGGGTTTAAATAAAATTATTTTTATTATAATTTCTAGGTTCATCATTTTCAAATGCTAACGTTAAAATTATACAGCTTACGTCTCAATCAGTGATTCTCAAGTTGGAAGCACTTGATTCTTATAGGCAGAATTTTAGCTAAGAAAAGAAATTCACTCATATGTACAAGTCATAAATATAATGGCGAAAAAATTGTGAGATGACATTTTAAAATTAGGGAGGAATTGAATACACATGGGATCATGAGGGGAGAAATGCAACTTAGGTACTGAGAATCACTAATCAAGACAAAAAATATCATTTTCCAAGTAATACAAAAAAAGTAGCTAGCAATTACTGAGCTTAAAATTATAGCTAGCATTACTGTATAAAGCACCTATTTAAAATACAGTAAAATCTTTGTGAAAAAGTATACATAATTAAAAGTAAAAATTAAATCCTGATTTTATTGCACATATAAATTCATAGAAAAATTAGTTAATCCATTAATTGCAGCAGAAATTTTCATCATTCATATTTGAACCATAAAACTGCAGATGGTGGAAATTCATAGTTAATGAGATAAACAGGTTACTAAATAGCATGTTTAATAAAATTTTGCTTAAAAAAGAAAATTAAACAAAATATAATTATGCTTAGAAGCAAGCAAAAAAAAAAAAAAAAAATGAAATCAAATGTTCATTTTATATGCTTCATGCTAAATAATACCCTGACAAAATTGGTTTAAAATGTTTATCAGGGAATTTAAAAAAAAAAAAAAAAAAAAAAATGGACAGGGTTCAAACTTGAGAGGACTTTACTGATTTTTGTTTTGCCCATAACACAGAATCAGAAACTAGCTACAAAGCTTGGCAAAAACTAAACATCAACTGCCTGTGTATGAAGATCACGGAAAATAGCAGAATATCTAAGACTTTGTGAGCACTGGTCATAGTCGACACATACTTCCCAAACCTATGCTACACATTCTCCACATAAAGGAAACAGAGAAGGCGAAGTAATGTGCAAACGCAAGTAAGGGATGTAATTCTGTTTTATTTCTTTTTCTTTTTTTATTAATTAAATAAATGAATTACAGATTTCAATTTTAAAAAGAAATTATAAATATTCATGAATTCATTTTTTAGTGGGGAAGGACAAAAAATAGAGAAAAAGAGAAAGAAAGAAAAAAATGGTAGTTTAATAATAAAAAAAAAAAAAAATAACAAAAAAGATCTTGCTGCGTGCTGTATGTGTTGCTCTGTTCTGTTCTTTCTGAGAGACAAGAACACAACGTTGCCTTACCATTTGGAATTGCGGGGTTAGCGGCTTTTTTGGTCATAACCCGAGCAGTGGCATTGTTCACCTAGTTCATAAAATTACAGTATTTTAGAGACACACATTCATAGTCAAAATGGAATGAAATATGGTTAAAATATTTTTTAAAGTGATTTTTTTTTTTTAATCAAAAAGATACTTAATTCTTCAATCTGCAGAAATAGTTTCTTCATTTTTTTCTTTTTGCAGTCACAGTAGGGACTTATTTTGAAGAAACTAACAATTCAGTTTCTTTAGTAGCAGCTTGAAGAACCAGAATGATTACAATTTTATATTGAAGTAAGTTTAGTTTCCATAGATCAATACATTTTCTTTCTCCCATTTGAAATCAATATGAAGCCAAGATTGCATTTGATCTGTTTCTGATTGCACACAGATAATCAATTCTTCTATAAAAGTGCTTCAGTCTCAAAACCCCCTACTGATTTTTGCAGAGTCCAAACAGTCTCACATTTTGATCCTTAGCTATCCTACTGAACATCCAGTGAAACACCAGAATTACATTTCATAAAGAAATGAATGATAAGAATAGCAGTCAGAAATTTAGCATTTTCAGGAAAAATGCCAATCTAAGTAAGCCAAATATTTTCTTAACGTTTCAAAATTTAATTTTCATGCAGAATTCCTATATGGGCCAGATGATCACTAGTTTTTCCTATAGGTTAACTTGCCATTTGTCTAGTCAAAGTGCAATCTCTGCTCCTATTGATGAAAACAGACTACTAGGTATTGGTGTTCATCAAATACTTATTGATCATGTGTACTGAAAAAAAAGACTCGGATTCATAAAGCCCTCATAAAAATAAAGACACCAAAGTTGAATTAGACCTTTAATCAAGTTACCAAAATTTTGAATGTATTTAAAAGCTGATTAATACATTCAGCTCAGAGAGATTTGTTTGCAAACTGCCTTGTGTGTGAAGTCATCATAACACATGAATACCATAATGATGAAATTTAAAAAGTAAACTTTAAAAAACAACTAACATCTATAATCACAGGTTTAATCCCCAACTAACAGTTTTGGATACTAAGTAAACAGCTAAAAGCACTATACCAAAATTTTTTGGTACACAAGAGTCACTCTGAAAGTAATGCTTCCTATTTTATTATGTTGGCCCACAATGTCATAGGCAGATTTTGGTGATATGGCAACAGAGGTTCTTGCCAATTTTATTATGTCAGCCTTCTTACCAATAACCTATAATTTCTTTTGCTTTGTTATGGAGAACATTCTGGAAAAATGGCATTTGACATAAAAGTGTGTGCAAACCAGAAATATATCAGTGAAAAAAAGAAATATGCACCAAAACTGACATTCATCAAAGTTTGTTGAGCTGTGGATGAAAGCAAAATTGGCTGGTAGGCAATGCATTTCAGCAATGTGTGCAACAAGTAATATTCTCTGAACAATCACAAGCCCTGAACAAGGGTCAACCCACACAATGAAGAGCATCTTGAAAATGCATAGGCAATGGTGGGAAATAATGTACTCTAAATGAAAACTTGCTCCATCCAACAAGGTTATTGCATTACTTTGTATTTGTACTTTCTCAGGAAATAAATTGGTGGAACTATTTTTGGAGAATCCCATATATATATATATATATATATATATATATATATATGGGCACATGGTCAAGTGGTTAGAACATTTGCTTTCTAACCATGAGAGCTGGGTTTGACTGTCACCATGCTTCATTTGTCAGGAAGGAGACGCCCTGATGTTATCGTTTTGGAGGGGATGATCTCAGCATGTGGCACCTTTGGAAAGTGCCTGAAAACCATCAAAACTTGTGAGTGAAATTGGGTAGATAGTACCCTTAGTGTGGGGGCATCGATAACTAAGCTAGTATGAAGTCACAAGTCATCATGACCGAGAGTTTGTGCATGCTGGCCTTGATCAGATTGCGAACACACTCTTTCCCAGAAACTGTAACTAAAGTCTGCTCAGCATAGTTGCAGTATAAACCACAGGAGGGCTCTGTGGGTGTTGAACAAATACAAATGTGCCTGAGCAAGTATTTGCAACAGGGATTGGCTAGCCACCCTACTAGACAGGTATCCTTAAATACAAGTGGCCAGTTATGTGTGTGTGTGTGCATTGTTTTCTTTTCAACAGAATAAAATTAAATATTTTCTAGTGTTTAAGGTTGAATTCTGTCAATTAAATCAAAGACTATGACTAAGGAGACAAGTATAAAGAAATGAATAAATCAATACTCAAGAAAGAGTTTGAGGCCCATTCTGATTCCAACTTTGTAAAACATTCTGTCAGTGAATCAAAAATATAGCCAGTCAAAAATTAACTGTTTACCATTTTAACTGAAAGCACCATTTCCCAGTACAGTAAAACAGTGTCACATCATATATCAGCTCTTTGGCAATATTCAGAAGACCGAGAGAGAGAAATTTTCTTTTCATGGTGCTGTTAATTTAAAATATTTCAATGAAAATTTTAAATCAAAGTTCCACCCTCACACAACTTTCTTTTAAATTTGCTTTTCTATTTATCCTTTAAATCAGCCATCTCCTGTTTTATGATTTCTTGCATCAGAAGGAGGCTGAAATATATTGCTACAACTCAGAAGAATTGCTTTTAGAATGTTAAGATATTCCCTTTACTCAATGAATTATTAGATTAAATATCCCTGTGCAAACAGGGGCAAAAAATGTACTATTGTGAACCATTCAGATGGGTAAGTTTAATGCAAACAAATTTGTTATATTCAAATTTTGTAAATATTCTGATTCAGCCAAAAGCAACGTTTTTTTTTTTTTTTTTAATGGTTCCTCACAGCACATGGTTTCCTATACAGTAGCTTCATTTGGCATTTACTCAGCCCTCTATTTAGAAGTTGTTTGCAAAAGGTCAAATTGTTGAACAGAAATACAAACTTGGTAATAGAGATTTAAATTGTTACTACTGAAAAAGACTTGTGTTATCAAATTCATAAAAAGAAGCCATACTCACAGAGTTATTAGTTTGATATTTATTACAGTTTGGGGGGATTTAGAAACTAAAATTTGCATATCTGATAAATGACATAATAGTTTTTAAGTTCTTGGAAATAATGATATAAATATTGTATGAACTCAATTCATACATGGAATACGAAGCATGGAGATTAGTGCTAAAGTTTTATATTAACTTCATTTGTTATAACATCAAGTGCTCTGGTTAAACAGATGCAGAGAATGACAATGATTTTTTTTTTCTTTCAATAAACTTTACTTATTTATGTCAAGGTATAAACAAAAAAGTAATTCACACTATCAACAGTAAAATGGATTTAAATTTTGCTTTTAATTTGATGATACAAGGTCCAAGGATTTATTCAGGAGGCACAATAGGTACCTGTTCTGTTTTTACCCCAGTTTGTTAAGAATAATGGGGATTTGCAGAGGACATGCTAGTTTGGAATCTTGTATAGAAAAAACATTTTTAATACTCCTCTGTAAAAAGTGAAAGTGTCACAAAAAACATCACTGCTAATTTGTTATTCATATTTTTGTTTTGACACTTTACAAATGATTTCTCTAAATATTTTTAATATGTTAGACAGGATTATTTTTTCTCTCCCCTTTTTGCACAGTCTGTCTAGCATAACAGCTTGACCAAAGCAACATAAAACTGTAACCATTCTGAAATTATGATAAAAAAATAATGAGAATTCAATTTTAATGAAAGTCAATTTTACTAATTGTAATTACGACAAATGCACTTTGAAGAAAATGGCAGGATAAAAGTCTAAAAATAAATAAATAAAATAATATTGAAGGAGACATTTGATTTCTTCTCCTATATTTAACAGGAAAGTTAAGAAAACTTCTTTGCTATTACTGATCAAAGGTCATAGTTTTCATTTATTCGGGAGCTTTTAGATATTAATTTATTTTTTTTACCCTAATTTCAGAATATTTCATAGAAAAATTAGAACCTGCCATCTTCCTTAAAATGCTAGTTAACCTATTCAAGGTCAGTTAAGCCCATGAAGGAACAATTTTTTTTTTTTTTTTAATTATTTTAATTCACCAACAAATTTCCTTTATTTCCATAACCATAGGTTATTTTACTATGGATTTTATTAATCCCCTTTGAGAGATTCATTTCATTCAAATTCCCAAATTGTACATAGCTTAATTAACCTATCCTTCATGAGCCTATCTTTATGATTGATAATCATAAAAGAAAAGAAACTTTGGGATCCTACACAATGAAACAATGTTAAAAGACATTAAATATGTCTGTTCATTGTTCTATTATTGACTAAACTACCGATTACTCCTCAGATTAATATAAAGATATTGTTCTTAGTGTAAAATTATCAATATTCAATTTTTAAGGGAGAAAAGCATGGAAAAGTTATTTTTTGTTGCTTTTAAAACAACTTTCTGAAAGAGAAAAGAGGAAGCAAAATGAAATTAAATACTGGTCATATATATATATATATATATATATATATATATATATATATATATATATATATATATATATATAAGGCCACATTTAGCAGGAGTAGATGTACATTCATATGTCAGGAGTCCCAAAATTTCTCCATGTAAATATTAGAGTAAAGAGGAAAATAAAACATAAAAAAACTAAATGAAAGAGAAAGAGAGACAGAGAAAGAAAATAAATAATGAAACAGTAATTTTCTTGGCAGATCTCGAGGAGTTTTTATGGAAGAGCCTTAATTAAATTAATTTTTTGAGCTCATTTTTCCAAAGTCATATAACTGTCTTAAATTAGTTAAAACAAAAATTGGTGAAAACACTTAACTAAATAGCTTTAAATTGAACCAATTTTACTCAATGCTAAAAATGCCAACTTCTAAATAAATGCTATTGTTAAAAAAAAAAAAAAAAAATTGCAGATCTAAACATCAGAACCATTTTTGTACACATCTATCAGTAGCAAATATGTGATACATGTATTCAAAGAAAAAAAATTGCCAGGCTGTAGCCAACAAAATCTTGTTTACCATAATGGCAACATCCAAATTTTGATAATGACTGAGACAGCTA